TATTAGGATCATGGGCGAAATTCCAAATTTCTAACTTCAATGATCATGTTTCGACAAACCAGAGGCCAAGTCCAGTTCATATTATTTAATATCAAGATCTAATTCAAAAATAGCAACTTTCGTGATTTTAAACGACAATTTTATCTAATTTGGATGCGCGTGAAAAATAGCACGCCTGGTACTGATTTTATGCTAAACTGGACAAATTCGTGTTCTTAACTCTATATATAACACATAGGCGCGATTACCATTAATTTGCATAGACAGCACAAAGTTCTGTGTCCAGCTAAGAAAAGAGAGCTGTTGTGCACTGAATAAACTAATGATTGTCTGCCTAATTCAATATATAACATATTCCTTAAGAAAGGAACACCAATATATAAAATCATTTGCATGCGAACACTTTCAAGTGTTGATTGGGTCGTGCATCAGTGACAAACGTCTTTCTAGTAAAGGCCAATTTCCACGGAAATTCTTTTTTTACAGGCTCTACATTGTGGTTTTCTGAGAGAACGAAGCTTTAAAAGACATCTTTGGTGCTTGGTCTGTTCAAGCTTTTTGCACAGTGCAACAGCGCATCAGGCAAAGTTGTTTCTCTCGACGACCCACTTGCTTGGACCCCTGGATACCCTGTTTTGACACACGGTCTCTTCTAAGCAACACAACATTCTGACGGCCTTTAATACAACTATTCTCCTATGGGTGTTCTTCACAGGTGCGATCCTGTAGCAGTTGAATGGAGATAAGAAGTGTGCAAACAGAAGCCCAGTTACCTGAAAGGAGAAATCTTACCTTCATACCATTGGTCAGAAAATACACGAAAACCTAGCACACAACGTTTATATCCTGATATTGGTTGGCAAGAGGTTTGTCCCTCTGCAGGGAGATCTCTTTGGGCGCTCGCAATGTTTTCCTTGTGAAATGTGATTTCAACTAGAATCTCAGAGGACTTCAGTGTAGTGATTGTAGGTGGGGAGAATCTTTTCGGAAGGGAATGTACCTAACTCAAGCGTAATCATGCCACATCTCATCGCAACCTGTTGTATGGCAGACGACAAATATAACTTCCAAAACAAGCAGAGCGATACACCTAAATAAAGTAACCAGACACAACCTAGGAATACGCCCCCTAAAACTTCACATTTAGAAGAACATTGTGCTAATCCGTAACGTACAATAACTTGCGATCAATTCTTTTTGAAATATCTGTAACAGCTCAGCATAATTCATTTCAACTTTTGATCAACTGACCCACACATCCCTACCATAATTTTTTTCGCATGTAAACGCACAAATGTGCAATATAATGTAAGCACTTGCAACCTAGTGTCGTATGAGTTTGCGGTGTTTTATCATGAGATTCAATAAAAGGATGAGGCATTATCCTTTGACTTCCTCCCGGCGATTACTCAAGTCATATAAAATTGTTTATTATGGAGTTCTTCAAACATTTTGGCAACAGAATGGCTGCAATGTGCTGCTCTATCTTCCAACTTAGCCTGGACCCAAGTTACATGACGAATCATCCTGTGGAAACTGGTTTTAGAATCATTCCCATAGAATGAAATCAACATTTCACCAATGGGAAAACCCCTGCCCAGGAAAACCATCGAAACTGAACCTGAAATACTTGTCTTACGAACTTGTTTGATAGCAAACAAAGGGTTGATTAAGCTTAATAACAACTTGACGTTTGACCAGTTCCGCGAAAACTATCAATCTCACCCGAGTTTCTAAAAAGCATTTATTAGGCTATCGATAATTGGGTTAGGCTGAAGGACATGCTTAATAAACTGACTTTATATGAAAGTGACTGATAGTGTCCCTGCCAGATGAAGACGTTATACACCGAAAATCTTTGAAAAAATTTATTGCTTGAGTGTACCATGTTCCTTTGGCGAAGGATATAAATTAATTAGTGAAATATTGCAGATGAAACCTCTGCAATATTTTCGTCTTATCCTTTGGACCATCTGCGGACGCTTGCGCCAATAGCCTCATAAGCCTTACTTTCGACACCATTTACCGGATCTACAGCTGACATCTACGAGTTAAATTCCGGGACTAAAGTTTGTTTGTATTTTGTTGCCGGAGCGAAATTAAGATGAAATATTTGAGTTGATGCACTTGCCTCGGTTGCAAGTGTCCCGAGTAATCCAACGATAGGTGTTTCCTGAATTGAGCTGGTTTATATCTGTTAAATCATGCATGTTAACCCACATCTCAAAGTGTTTGAAAGCATCCCCAAAGTGCAGTTTCAACCACAATTTACCGCCGATATGGTTTGGTTTAACATAGTAATCCGTCTTCATAAGACATAGTTTGGGAGCGTTCTAAATATTCCTTACTTTAAGTAACTGTTACATTAGTTGCCCGCCTGAAAACATAGTCGGAATGGAACATCGTTTTTTCTTCGCTCTAAGGACATACACAACACCCATGATCTCTAGATGTGCTACTGGTATTCCACAAACTATCAGAGTAATGCAAAATTGCCTACGTTTTCTTCGGAATGGACAGATTATTCCTGTGTCACTTCAGATTACCAGGACAAGCATCTGCGTTGTCATCTGTATTTGCATACGATTTCATCCCACGGTTTAGTTATTTTTTCCCTCACTTGGCAGGTTCTGGCGAAAAATGACCAGCAAACTGTCACTCCACAGTTGTACGAATGTAAACTCTTGCTTTTCTGCTTTGTGCAGTTTTATTCAAACAGTACTGTCAAACCATCGACAAGACCAACCCTCTTATCATAAAACTGCCCTGTAAAGTCCAATGGGTTGCTTCCAACCACAAAACGGTAATCAAGTACTGTGTAGTTCTATTCTGGAGTAGTTAAATTCTGCACACTTTACTCTATCTAGCGAGTCAGTTGTGGTCAGACTCAGTGATTCTCACTACTCCACTGCATTCAATATAATGAGTAGTACTTAGAATTTTCTGGAAGACCCTAAGGATTCACCGGGTTACCACCATAAAAATATATAAAAAAATAAACAACTTATCCCCTTCTTATTCGCTTCTAGCATAAATTTTCTTGAAAAGAAAGTGCATTGTAGCATCTGCGGATTGTACGGATCGCATCTTATTCAAATAAGCACAATGTGCAAACATCAATACGAAATAAACAAAATGAGTTGACTATTTTCCTTAATCAGAAGAAAGTTGGACCGGTCTCACCGACAATTAAAGTGTGTGGATGCTGTTTGTGGACTACTTACTTCATTCACCTGGAAGTTTTCTGAGATTAGAGAAATGGTTATTTGGGGCACTAAAATAGCAGTTAAATGAATAAAGATGTGAGATAAATCATAGAATTTGTCACATCTTAGTTGTAAAAGTAGACTCTGTCTCATCGTTTACTGGTGACCGGAAATGAATGTACTTATCTCGTCATCTTACAAGATTAGTAGGCTTTCTACACGTGTATAAATCTAAGCCCTGTTAAATATGATTATTTTATTAGCGTGCAAATTAATATATCACTAAGGTATCACTTTATCAGTTCTTTTGGATATTTTAGCATTCGTTTTTCGTCCTAACTTGTGTTCAATCACGGAAATCAGGCATCACAACTTATTCCCCCAGTTTTCTGTAAAAGCACACTATTTTTCTCACAAAAGGTAGATTTATTCCTTTGAAGCATCACCAGAATGACCCAAGGAAATAATATTGTGATTAATTCATTACTACCGCGAGTCAGTACTTTCAAAATCCATTAACGTAATGAAATTAGTCACACAAGCAGCGTCACAGCCCGTCATTAGTTGACTGGTTTTAGGTTGTTCCGCTGAGTCCATTTATAAAACACGAGTCATTACTCAGGTTTTGATTCTCCCGTCTTACGAGGAATAAAAAATAAGGAATCAAATTTTGGAGAGATGTAACGACATAAAGAGATCGTTCGCAAGCAATTTCAAAAGGCTAAGAAAGTGATGGACAAAAACTAAGTCTGAACACTAGATAGGTTTTCTTCTGGTACTGGCTTCAGGTGTGGCTGACACACATGAGTACGTCCACGAAAGATCTTTCAGATACGGTGGTCGAGTTGCAGCAAAATTCTGTCCCTTCACCACTTGATTTCAACCTGTATGTCTTGTGCTCTCAGATTTCGGTAGACAGTGACTGTGCCGTACGGCTGCCGCAGACAACCTTTACGATATATGCATTGCTATTCGTACTACTCCCTCCATGTTAGTAAGCACTCTGGAAAGTGGTGTTAAATTACCTAGTACCTTTGAACATATTAGTCCTACTTTATCGCTTCACTGCCAGAGAAATGCACAGTCATTTATATGCTACTAGTCCCCTGGAAGCATGGTCAAGCATGTTCACCGAGGAAGTAGAATTTGCTGCCAACCGCATCGAGATATAGGAGGCACGTGCAGTTGTTGATTCGTTGCTGTTTCCCAGGAGAAATTGAGGAGTACATCCTATATGTTTGAACATCTTGCAATTGCACACGTAAAATATCTATTGCCTTTATTACATTACCAGAATGAAACAAAGTTGTTTGCCTTGTGCATGGTCAAGCATGTTCACCGAGGAAGTAGAATTTGCTGCCAACCGCATCGAGATATAGGAGGCACGTGCAGTTGTTGATTCGTTGCTGTTTCCCAGGAGAAATTGAGGAGTACATCCTATATGTTTGAACATCTTGCAATTGCACACGTAAAATATCTATTGCCTTTATTACATTACCAGAATGAAACAAAGTTGTTTTGCCTTGTTTATCATTGAAAACCGAGGTCCATAGTCAGACAGTCATCCACTCGGCACAAATCAAGTGAAAGTTAGACTTTAAGTATCCTGTTTGGTTAAATTATGAATGTTATTTTAAAAACGATGATTCATTTAATGACCTGGTATTGGATGTACTTTCCATCCAGCAGCAAATACATACAAGACATGAGGTGCAGGATAGAGGTAGAAATAAGAAAATACAGCATGCGATGTGCAGTTCTTTGCTAAAACTTGCGCTTGCTTCGTGCACTCACCCTTTGAAACTGTCGAATTTACTCTGCAACTTCTCCTTCACGGGTACCGCAATGATTTGACCCCGAAGGGTTTGAACAGTTTCCATAATATCCTTCAGTGGATGTGTGGATGCTTTATCGCAACGCGTTCAACTCAAATCAGTCATAGGCATTCCTACGGGGAAACGATACGCCCGATCGATACAGGTATTGTCTCTATGATGTGGGAAGTGTATAAAGTTAATGGACGTCGTGTAACTGCAACAGTCTACCACCCTTAACATTAGAGTTGGCTGCTCTGTCCAGCTCTGAGCTTGAGCGCATGACCAGATTGGCTGGCGTAGCGGACCAATAGGAAAAATTATCCTCACTTGTTCAGTACTTGCAGCTGGATCGGCCTAGCTCAAGGAATCCACGTTTACCTTCTTCCCTACTTCATGTTCTTTCGAACGGAAGTTTGAAAAATCAAGACTGTGCAGCTATGTATGAGTTGCTGTGTACGCATGCGTGTGTGTGGGCGGATGGTTGTCGGGTGGACGTACTGGTTAGTGATTCTCGAGCAAGGGAACGCATTTCCGCCCGGAAAGTCAAGCACCCCTATATTATGCCAAAATAGATCTATGAACAGAACCATGTTAGTGTGTTCCGTATGGATGGCTTTGTGAATCATTCCGATAAAAATATAGACGCTCATTTCCTCTAGAGTGATGATTTCGTTTCATAGGAAAACTCCATGACAAGCGACCAGTTAGCGCTTCGCGAATTTGAAAACAAAGATGCCTGGACTGAGTGTCACGTCATCGCAAGCAACGTTGCATCTGGGAGCAGTTATTTAGGAGCGGCTTATTGTCTAGGCAGGAGCTTGGGTGTGCATCGTTAGGACTAAGTTTGCACTTTTCCTTCTATTTCGACCTTTGATACTGCAAATTGTGTTGTCTTCAGTCTGAAAGTAGGAGTTTCGGTTCGCCTTAGGTACCGTTGTTGTGTAGCGACAAATGAACAGGCACAGTATGGTTTCGGGAAAATTTTGAATATACTGCTATATACGTATTACAATCGACACAATGGTACAAATACACCCCTCTTGAAATGATACTGGTATGTACATTAGCTATACCACATTGAATGCTGTGAGGATGCGGTTTCTACCGGTATGTGTGTGACAAATAAAGCGAAGCCTTATGGTAGAAAAGGGATTGCGTTTAGCAAATGGCGAAGTCCATATATCTGGATGCAACTTGATTTTAGTTGGAAATCTAGAACTGGTTAAAATTTTATTCGTATTCAGCAGGAAACTGATCGTCAGCCAAATTGTTTCGAGAGGCTTCAAGTTTCCGAAAAATTGGCAAAACAAATACCATGTGCCGAACTGGATGAACTCTGTCTCAGTGCATTTTCACACAACCCATTGTTACAAGCTGGTTTAGATGGACCTTTGAGGTGAATTTTAATGACAAACAGCCTCAACTTTGCAAATTTCAAACCCTTAAAGTTGTGTTAGAGCTATTGGCACTCTGGTCACTTCGTTCAAAACCGAACAGTATGACTGAGATCGACGACATGGAGAGCGCCGCTGATTACGAAGAATAGAAGTTTGTATTCAGACTTCCTGTATCCACTGTATGGAGAATGTGTGGTCATCAGACGAAGGGGCGTCTGATAAACGCCCATTAATATCTGCTCCTCAAGCCAAGCAGATGAATGCTGAATATTCCTAGCTTATTCGCCGTTAAAAAGAAGTGCCTACACTCCACAGCACAGATGCTGTCTACAACATTCGCACCAACTAAGTTCTTCATGGTCACGTCAAGCACCTGTAATACGGATTGTAGGCAACAGTCTGTGATCAGCCTGGTTTCCCTATCAACTTATGGACTATGAAACTGTGAAGCTTTATATCAAAAAAGATTACGAGTAGAGTAATTCTTGGAAGTAAAACAAATGGTGGTCCATGAAATATTTCTTCAAACATATCACTTGTCTTTTTCTGTGGGTTGATTCAAAATCTGATGCTCTGATGATCATCCAGAATATGCATTTCAATTCTAATCTGTACGCATATCTGTGGAATGAACAGTGAATTTTTGAGCGGTCGAATTGGGGACATCCTGTTTGCAGATTTGCAGCATATTGAAAAGTTTGTTTATGTGGCGGCGGAAGGTGAAAATAGAGAAGAAGCCCGGCTAAATTCATTCAACGGGACTTCTCGTCGTCTCGCTCTAAGTCGATTCATGCGTGCTGCAATCCGTGTTTTCAGATCTCATGATCTTCACTAGAAAATCTGCATAAACCTACCTCCAGGGGTGAGAAACCATCATCATTCCCCAAAGGTGCACTTTTTACGAAGAGGTGGGAGTGCTACGTCATGACAACAGTTCAAGCTACAAAAATAGACCGAGCGTGCTATCTAGTAGTGAGCCCCGTCTGCCCCACCGAAATCACCTTGTCGTTCTTGCCATATTTAGTTTTCCGTCAGTTAAATTATCGTGATAAATATGGAATTCGAGTGAAGGTGCAGCAATTTTGCCAAGTGCCTTGGTTATGATCATGCTAGACAGAATGCTTCCTTGGTGATAACAAAGGCTGTAGTAACTGAAAGAAATATCTTTTGTATTTTATAGGCAGTGGGGAGATTTGCAAGCTTCAATCGAAGTTTTATCCTGAGAATAAGGTTAGCCTGTGCGTCTAATCAGGGGTGCTATGAGAGCTGTGTGCATCGACTGAGCCAAGCTCTCAATGCTTAGGTGATCCACTGAACAACATTCCATTATGAAATGAGTGGCACATCAGAAGTACGATTGACCTGCAGTAAGAGGGAATATAGTGTCAAAATACTTCATTCATTTGAGTTGATCTCATTCCTGAGACGTTGCAAAAGTACCATCGGCCAACAGCGCATTAAGTGAGGTGGATTGCATAGCTTAGAGATGATTGATTGGAGTACTGACTGTCGCAACAAGCAATCAAGATATAGGAAGCGCAACCAGTGTCTGACTGGTCTGTTCGTGTCCCAGTCACGCAAACAATAATGAGGGTCTTTTTGTAATAATCCAACCCTGATACTTGTGGTAGAAAAAATGAACAGTGAATCTAGAGTCTCTTGAAACCTCCATGGAATAACGACGGATGATATGCCAGACACTTGAATATGAGAGGTGGGAACCATTTAGAACACTACGCACCATCGGCAGCCGAGTGAAATCCTGGAATACCAGAGCACAGAGACAAACACAAGAGTATAGAGTTATGTTCAGAGTGATATGGAGGACAAAGAAGTGGTCAGTTAGACCAGCGTCAGTGGTCACATTTTCTGCCCGATGCCACAGCCGAATTTAATAAAGACCTTCCTCAAAGGACTTTTGTCTCTTCCCCTTCATCATACTTGTTGAACAAAAACCTCAAACAAAAGGCACTTTCTGAGGGTTGCAGATTTGCAGCCCAGAGGCAACACAATCTTCCTGGCTGACGAAGCAGACTTTTACTTGTTCTGCTGCTAAAAAAGAGGGATTGGTTACTCAGAGGCAGAACAGCACCTGTCGGTACGGCTAGAGAAAGGGAAAGCAATCTGACAATTATTACAACATAATCAGCTGTCAGCTAGGCTGGGTTTATTGTTAGTCTGGTCTTCTGGAAATCAGTACTACGACGAGTGAAGACGTGTTTCAAGGGTGCTTGTGAAAACGCCTCATACCAATCGCTCTTCTAGGAAGACTTCTCCAAGGAAGAATTGAGATCTGCAACATTAATACATCCAGGACCCAAGTTAACGACTTCCAAACCGACTGATTATAAGTGGTTTTGTTACGTCTATAAAATTATGTTTAGTCTACGTGAGTAGACTGTACTGATGTTGCACATCAAATTATACTTGAGACTGAACTATCAAGTACTGAGCTCCGGAAATCCAACCAAAGTGTTCGACAGAGAATGGAGAACATATCTCCCAAAACAGATCCTAAATAGAAGAAGACAGGTAGGTTGTATACAGCATGGGGGATTGACCACCAAAAACTGTTAAATCAGGAGCAAGTAAAACAGATGATGTTCGAATGGTAAATTTGGGGCACCATTAGGGTTATTGGATTGCCTCACCATGGAGCTAAAGGGCGGTCATCAGTTTGGTTTTTTGCTTATGTTCAACATCCAATTTTTGCTTTCGCCTAAAGCCGCAGGAAACTGTGAATGTTATCTTAGGGTTAATTGCGCGACCCGTTCGGTACAGAATGCTAATGGTCTGTTCCAACGGAGACGACGAATTTGCATCTGCGGACTCTGTGAAAGCAGTAGATAACATTAAATTTGATCAGAAGCGGCACTCGGATTCTTTTGGTGCTCACGGCACACGTGTTCTCTACTTAGTGGCCACTAGATTCGCGATATTGAAACTCTGTCATATTTTCCCGTAGAAGTAAATTTTCAACAATGAAGGAACTTGGTCTTCCTCAAAAGGTAAACAAAAACAAACGTGCATACGTGAGGATTCTGAGCGCTATCAGTAGTTAGTGGAGATTTTGTTCTTCATATTAAACCAGTCTATGCTAAAACAGGAGAATTCGAGGTAGGCTTTTCAGTATAGGATGAAACATCTATCAAAATTCCAAAATCTCCTCACAGTATCAAAGAAAAAGAGCAAGATTGTGCGCACTATTTGCTTACATGGTTTTGAAGTAGCAGGTCTAACAGATTAGCGGACATTGTGGAAAAACTGAAATGGTGCTGATGATAGACTGTCAGGTCACTAGTTTGTCTTCTACCATTCCGCTTTCCGTCATGCTACATAAAGTCCGTTTCCTGCGCATAATGGTAAAATTAATAATTTATTTTCTTGCTAGAAGTGTACACAACATGGATTGAAAAACCTAAATGGTTTTATCGGCAGCCGCTAACGTTTGTAATTTTAGTGGACGAGGTACGCTGTCATCACCGCCGTCATTGACGTCATGATATCAGTATTCAATACTAACGCTTCTCTGCCGTACAATCATGATTTATTTGAATTCCTTATTGTGAAGAAAAGAACATAATTGGGTGGGGAAGTGATTTAGGACTTGCTTACCACAATCATTCAGAGGTGCCCACACCTGCACACATTTATTCAGATAATCTGGATAGAAACTGACAATAAAAACTCCATTGACATCGATTAGCAGCATACCTTGCGGCATCTCCAATCACGTGCACTGGGGATCACACAGTACCCATTTTGGAGGGCAAGTCGCACCGACAGCACCCAAAC